GGCACTTGTTACTAGAAGCGATGCACTTGTTCCTAGTAGCTTCTTGTTACTACTAGTAAGGCACTTGTTACTAGAAGCGATGCACGTGTTCTTAGTAGCTTCTTGTTACTTCCTTTCCAAGTTGCTAGCATGAACCTGTTGATGGGACGGACGGACTAGCCCCAGCGCTTGAAAGCGGGCCGGTCTCATTCCGCAGATGAGTATCCAACAGCCCTGAAAGCTGGCGCAGAACTTATAGAAATAATGTTTGAGGGTTTCCGGCTTTCGGTTACAAAACGATGGTTTCCACGTTTATGGTGGTATTTAATTCCTTGTCGTTTTGCTGACTTTGAACTTTGCCAACCCCCAAGAATCAATCAAATGGGACCACGGTGCATTTCACCTTCATGTTTGAATTGACCACTGAGCAGGCACCCGCGAGGCGTAGGTGCACATGAATCCGTGTCCTCGGTTTGTGGGAACCGGAGGTGTTACAGTGGTTTTGAAGACAGAAGACGCACACATACGGATGGATGGCTGGTTGTTGAAGCCCTGACAGCTGCATGTGCGGTCCTTCCACGCTGCCCGGACTTTGGGACGTGAGGCGCCACTCCAGTGCCAGGAGCTGGGCGCACTGTGTGACGTCGTGAAGGACGAACAATCCTCCAGTTTTGACCCACAACTTGGAGTATTGACCAATCACCGAGGGTGGCCGAATTGTGAGATGGTTGTTTCTCCCGCGCTTGCTTGCTTTGCTGTTGACAAACTTATTTTCTTTGTCTTTACTAAAGTACCTTGCCGTGTCTCATTACTTGCTTTCCTCCGCCGGAGAAGTGCTCTCCAGGGTTAGGACGTGCCCGTAATGGTCCCCCAGGTCGTACAGGTATCAGGATGTATATGTCATGCAGGTAATTATGAGAAGGTAGTCAATGAGGATCTAGCCAGCAGTCACAGCTCCTCTTGGATTGGGAGAGTCATGGAGAGCCTTTTTTGCTGCATGATCACAAGTCAACAATCAACAGATCAGCCAAGTTGTCAAGCGCAGAGCGATGAAGGTAATTGTACCATCAGCAGCCGGGTTGATTGACCCCACAAGCACAATCAAGCCCACCCTCAGGTCGTTTCCTTGGCCCCCAGCCTGGCCAGGCACGGTCAAATGTTGTTAGTTTCAAGATGTTTCACGATTTCCTTTCAGGGTCACTGTAGTGGACCTTTGAAGATATCAACGCTGAGACTTACCACCGATATGCTTGCCACATACAAACGGAAGGTTGAATGAAACATATTGGAACTTGCAGGCTGATATGGATCGGAGCCTGACTTTGCCATGGTCAAAGGAATTCTCAGAATTATATAGTAGTGACATATCAAAAATGAAATATACTTAAAAGCACTTGACTTGACTATTCAGTGGCTGTTTGTCGGATTGTCCCCTCTCGGCAGAGAGGCGCATGGTCCTGGCCGCCCTGGGGATGGCAGGCGCCGCATGATTCTCAAAGGTGATTGTTTGCCAAAGAGGGGATGGACACGGTCTCCACATCTTAGCTTCAAACAAAGTCTCCACCCTTAGCATTGTTGGTCCTTTTGTTTTTGTTGCTGTCGAAGGGTCATGGAACAACCGAGTTTTGAGCCCTTGACGCTGCAGGCCCCTCCGCCACAGTGCACATCTCCAATCAAAGGACTGCTTTGATTTTCAGGGTATGTAATCCCGAGTACCTATTAAAAAACGGACCCCTATTTAACAGGAGTCATGTTGGAACCACCTAAATACGGTTTATATTCGTTGTTAAATTACCGCCCTTTCAAGCCACTACTAAGCTACCAACATGGCCTTTTTTTGGAGAAGTTTTTTTTGGGGGGGTTCCAAAAACAACCGTAACTGCCCGCCTCTGTCCACCCTGTCTATCCACCATGACAAGCCGTGTTTATACCAGCAGGCTTTCCTTCCCCCAATGGCACGGACTCACGCAAACACACTTTCCACCGAGGTCACGCAAAACCACAGGGCACAGCGACATCACCTTTCGAAAGCTTTAGTTGTTAGTCTATAATGAAGAATCAGTATTCTAATAATGGTTTTTGGAGGGGGAAAAGGAAGTCCCTTCGATCTGGAGGTTTATTGAATTTTTGATCTGAGTTTAATAAATATTTTATATAAAGTTTTCCTGCGGGTGACTTTTTGGTTTTGAAGCCCTTCCCAGGTGACCCCATTTTCGACCACCCCGATTTCAGGGACCCTATTAACAAAAATGCGACCGAGGTTTCCTTATTAGGGGGGGAGGGGCATGTTTTTTAATAGGTGGACCGGATTAATAATGTAGGCGCCATTGAATGATCCAAAGCGGGGATTAGGCCTTTTTGGCACTGGGAGGTTCAGAATGTGTTCACGAATGCTCCCACAAGTTTTGGCAAACGAAGCCCTGCAACAATCTAAACGACAAGCATTTGTTCATACATTTTGGTGTGCGCGTCCAGAGCGCTTAGTTTATAGAATGCACTTGGCTCATTTGTTGAGGGCTTTTACATCTCAGACACCAACTTCCAGCCGTTCATGGAAGGCAGATGGCAGAGGTATGTTGCTTGAAGACCTCCTGCTTTTCAGATCACAAGCCTCACACAAGAAATGATTCGTGGGACTGCAGTTCTAAGTTATGTGGTGCACATAATGCGGTTTCAACCAGGGTTTCACCATGTTCCCATGTGGGTGTGTGTGCCTTTTCTGGCTGGCTTTTGATTTGTTTCTCTTCAAGCTAGTTTTATTGAGTCTTGAGGGCGCTCCTTTGTAGTTGTATAAAATTGTTGCCGAAAGTCGAACCAAAGCATTTGCAAGCTTGACAAGAACGGGAGCCCTGCCCAAAGCAGGATCAGCTCCAAGATCAACCCAGGAGGTCAGAGATGGGCGTGAGGTGCGCAGAAAGATGTATGAAGGTTGTTGGCAGATACCTTCGACGACTTCGTGCAGTCACTTGACACATCTTGACACACCTGATCTTAGAATGTCAAGCACAGAATGGTCAGCAGATGGAAAGCATTGTATGTTCTACTAAAATGCCGGCCATGCCTGTCACAGCACAGGAGAACATTCAGTTCTTTATGCCTTTTTCACTTCCTGTGCCAGGAAAAGCCATGCGTGCCATGCGTGATGCCTAAGTGCAAAAGCGGAGGATGACGGGATGAGGGTCTCCGGGCGGAGCGGAGGTGCCACCGGTCCCTCGCTCAAACATCGGCAACGGTCAGTGGTATGATTATGGGTATTTGGTTCGAGAGTTCCACTAAATGGATTCATATGGGATTCTGGATTCTCTCCCTATTGAATATGGGATTCTCCACCAACTTTCAGGAGTTCCTCGCTTCGCTGGTGTTCCTGCCCAGGTGAGCCCACGGAGCAGGAGCGGCACCCGTCGGGCGCCTCAAGTAAAACATAGTAAAGCCGAACATGGGAAGTATATGGGAGAAGCTTGGAGAAGCCTGTCTGGCACGAACAACGCAAAAACATTGGACATTTTCAGGTGTATGAACGTCAGGTGCTCATGTTTCATGTGTGTTTTTTGTACCCTCTTGTCTATTGTCCCCTTTTGGAACCTGTCCACAGGGTCCACCTTCCATGGACCAGTGTGGGCTGCGCTGGTATGTGACTGGCAAAAGGTGATGCCAGTTTCTTCAGCAGTTGCAGCTCCCTGTAACAGGAAAGGTTGTGCCGCTTTCGTTGCATCTTCGCTGTACAACATTTGAAGCATGTTTCTCAAGCTTTCCGCGCGAAGCGCGGAGGCGCACGTTTGAAGGAAGGCCTTCATGTAAAGGAACGGCCTTTCGGTTGGCGTGTCCGAAAGGCGAGGGGGCTTTGAGAAGCTATCTCTAGACAATTCCAATGAGTCAACTTCGTCCGCATCATCATCAACTTCCCCAAGTGACTAGTAGCTTCTTGCTCCGTTCATAGCGATGGCCTCCAACCTACTTGCGATGGATGGCCTCCACCTAATAGTGTCCTTGCAACTAGTAGCTTAGTAGCTTTCCCGAGTGACTCCCTTCAAAGCCCTCCCAGCCTGGCCTCACTCCACTGGAACCGTCCAGCGCCATGATTTCGGCGGGTGGAGCTTCCGAGGCATCTGGGCCTGGTAGGTTATGGCGTGTTTATGGCGTGCACAAGCCGCTGTTACTAGTAGCTTCTTGTGACTTGTAGCGATACACCTTGTTACTAGTAGCTTCTTGTTACTGGTAGTGTAATGTACTTAGCTACTAGTAGCTTCTTGCTACTAGTAGCGATGCCCTTGTTCCTAGTAGCGATGCACTTGTTCCTAGTAGCAGACATCCGTGTTCAAGAGTGGTCCGATTTTAGGAAGGACTCGCAGCAACTTGGGCACAACCGCCTTTGCTTTTGTGGGGGCTGTCCACACCGGTCCAACGTAACACATAGGGGAATGCCAAGTGGAAAATGCTTGAAAAGCCTTGGAAAGTTGCTTTCGGAAATCATCCCCTTGCCACATACGGCCACATATGTATATCCACATTATATATATATATATTGATTGTCATTATTACTTGTATATACTATTTATATATTTTTTGTTAAACATATTATGTGAGTCGTGAGTGTCATTATGTAAAAAGATCAGCAGAGATTACTCAATTGTTTGCACATTCAAGCCTGCTGAGGTCAAGGTGTCGTTTGTGATGCCGTTGCTGTTGCACCTTGGTTGTGCGTGGGATGTCCCTTACGCAGGAAGCGGCCAACAGGAAACGATGAGCAGGGTGAAGGGATGTGAAGTGGAGCGGTGTTTGGTTGGCTGTGCATGGGCGGCGGTATATGTATGGACGTTCTCCGAACAAAGGTTTTCAATCTATCTCGGACGCTCGGATCACTGCAACCCGATGCGGCTGTTCTTCCTCGCCGTGGATGCACACCGACCCACCATTGATTGGGGAGATGCACTGTGAACACAAACTTCCTCACATTCCGAGTTTTTCCTCAAGATTCCTTCAGGATCCTTCAGGCATGTTTAACAACCTAGGACAATGGGTGAAGAATGGCCAATGGTTTGCAGATGTTTGCAGTACATGGCTTATGACACATGTCATTGCGTTTTTGTGTGTGTGTGTGTTCTGTTTTCTCTCTGGGGGTTCATGCCCAGCGTTGTTCCGTTTGCCGCGAACCGGTCGGCAGGGGTGCCGAACGAACGAGGTGCACCTTTCTCATCGTTTCCATGCAGCTGGGCTTCGCGATGCTGGAAGTGGGTTGTGTCAGGCAAGAGCACCGCATGACGGTCCTGGACACTTGGCTGAGTGGACACACAACTGGAAGGTCGTTACAGGACGTAGGAGTCATGTGAGCCAAGTCTATGGAAGGTCCCGATGTCATAGGCGCATGAGTTGCATGTGTTTGTTTTCAGAACAAGGAATGTCAGGGTGGCTCCCAGCAGTTCAAGGTTGATAGATTACCGCCACGAGGGTTTAAGACGCAAGAATACAATAGTACAACTCATTTCGGGGTCTTCATGTCCAGCTAGTGCTTGCTTTGGACAGGAGTTTTCACTGTATATATAGATTCCATGTTTGGTGGCCACCAGGCCAGTTTGGTGACGGTGCTTAGGCAATGAAAAAATCTAAGTATCTATTTTATTTGCGAATGGAAGTGCAGCGACACGTACAGTGCAACTTGTACATATATATGTACCATATGTACTTTGGCTCAAGGATCAAGCGACTAGAAAAGGTGCGGTTTCCGTTCCGACGCTACGCCGCTTATGGACCGTCAGTGATAGCTTCAAACTTCGCTGATTAAGATCCACTCGCAGGTTATCAGCCGTACGCGCTCTTTATAGCCGTACGAGCTACACGAGACCAAGAACAAGACTAGTCATTACAGAAACCTGCAATGTCAAGCTCAGGAGGAAATGGAAGCGAACCCTATTCATTCGCTGCTCCTGGTGGTCCCAACACCATTTCGTCACCAGACTCTACAATGGGTACTGATTCATCAGCAAATGCTGACGTTATCACTATGCCTACTGGATCACAAATCTCGGAAAGATCCGTGCCACCGGCTCGGAATCTGACCGATCTTGCACCCGTAGGACCAAGAAGATCGATGAGAGCTACAACAAGATCTACATCGCCTATAACGTCTACCGCGAGATCCCCAAGAAGGAGTATAGAGAAGAGACGTGACGATGATAGAGGAACAAAAGAGCAAAGAAGAGAGATTCAGCTGGGTGAAGAATTGAGATCGGCGAGAAACGCATACAATTTTCTTCATGAAGAATATGAATGCATCCAAGCCGGATACTCACGACTACACCACGAGGCTGAAGTGGGGTTCAGGCAAATGTCTGACTACAACAGGAAGATGCAGGAACATCTACAAGAGATGACACAGGAAGATGAAGGAGCGACAATAAGAATTGAAGAGCTCGAACACAAGCTACGCTTGGCGGAATCGACAGCTGAACATATCTACATGAGATATCTAGAGCTTGCACAAGAAACTCATCAAGAACATTCAGAGCTTGAATCTGTGAAAGCAACGAAGGACAGAATGTCCCAAGAGCTTCAAGCAGCAATTGGACACATCCAAGAACAGAATGAATCTTCATTGGCGATCAATAGAAGATCAAAAGCCATTCAGGATGAGAACACAGCCTTCGTCGGAATAGCTGACCAGATACAAGCTAGAATGACTGCGCTACAGGATGAGAATGTCAATATGCACGAGGTGATCCAACACCAGAGAGAAGAACAATGGAACAGTGAGGTCAGGGAAAGACGTCTTCAACACAGCGTTCACTCATCTCAAGATCAGAGCAATCAGGAAGCTATGGTTATTGATCATCTACGAGGTCAACTAGCTATGGCACGTGGAGCTGAACTCAACGCGAGAGCGGAGATAGGAGAGATGGAAGTGGGCATGAGGATGGAGATGTTTGTATGCCAGACTGAAGTCTCTGCTAAAGAAATGGCAGAAATGAAGGCGAGCCACCATGAATACGAAGCAAACGTCGCAAAGGAGGTTATCGCAAAAGGAGAAATATTCAACAACGAAGTCCTAGAAAGTTCCATCCGTGAACGACAACAATTGAAAGACGTCAACCTCGCTCTATCCGAAGCCAACGCACAGCTGAAAAGAGAGAATATGATGAGAGCTCCTATGTTCGGCGATGATGGTGCTGAAATTCAACAGAAGATCAGAGAACTGGAGAATGCACTATTGGAAAGCCAGAAGGAGACAAAGAATGTCATTATGGAAAATGCGAAATTAAAAGCAGAAGCACGAATGGCACCCATAGTCTCTCGGTACAGCAAGCGTCCTAGTTCCAGAGACCGCGGGTTACCAACCCACGCGTCCGAGGAAGATGAGATTCGGAACGCAAAAGAGGAGGCGAAGCACTACAAGGACGGGTACAATGAAATGACAGAGAGCCGAGATGAGATGTATGAATGGTATGCAGAAACCCACAATGAGTACGCCGAGGAAAGGGAGAAATCAATTGAGCGATCCGAGGCGAACAAATCATTGAGGGACAAGATTTCAGAAGCAGAAGCATCCTCTTCATCTCATCTTACACCGGCAACCTCTACAATCATGAAAGTATCGAGGAAGGAAGAATCAAAGATAAACGTTCCGTCATGGCCCAGGATCAATGATCTTGGACTATGGAAGGCAAATCTCATTCAATCGATCATCATTGCGGCCAATGATTCAGATCAAGAGCCCTGGATCGACTGGATCAAAGAAGCCATGGACGATCCTGATCCGGACAAGTTTGTCGACTCAGGAGACCAAAGATTCCATTCAATCGATGCCAAACTCGGCCTAGCTCTTACCAAGGTCGTCATGGATGCGAAAGATGATGGTTCAGGTGTAGCTATGAAGTTGAGGACGAGGATCAATGCAAAAGGGAGAACATCAAGCCTCATAAAGGGAAGAGAGGTCCTAGCCCTGATCCTTATGAATTTCAAGACAACATCAAATGTGGAAGTCTTATATACTTCAATGCACCTCTACCAACTAGAATATCAAGGAGACAAGAACTTATCGTTGTTCTTCCACACTCGGGATGAGATTCTGGCAGGAATGAAGCCCGTTGACGTCCCGAGCGACGAAACTCTTCGGGATCTCCTATGGAGAAAGATCAGGAACTCAAACCTCATGGCATACGACATCAGCGCCTACAATAGCATGAACGACGATGATGCCAAGAAGACATACAAACATCTACGTGATATGATCAGAAGGCACATCGAACGGCAAACTGAAGACAGGATGATGCTGGAAAAGGAGAAGGCAGTGAAGAATGTGGCCAATATCTTTCAGAATCTCAAACCAGGCGGACCTGCTCCAAAACTGAAAGCTGCACCAGCTGATCCGAAGAAGAAACCAAAAGGGCAACAAGAACAGGTTGTCTCAGAAGACGCTGCTGCAGTGAAGCCGAAACCCAATCCCAAGAAGCATCCTGAAGACAAGAACAAAAAGGGAAAGGTAAAGGTGATGGAAAGGATCGCAGCCGAAGTCCGAGTACAGACAAGAAGAAGATACCATGCAAATTCTTCGTGAAAGGTAACTGCACTATGGGGAAAGATTGCCCATTCAGTCACAAGAAACCCAGATCACCATCCAGAGGATCTTCTGTCGGAAAGAATGACAAGCCAGTATGTTGGATGTGGATTCGAGGAACTTGTGACAAAGGGAAGGATTGCAAGTTCTACCATGATCCAAAAGCCTCTCCTAAGAAAGGGATATCTGCACCAGCTGACTCAGGAGACGATAGGCCAAAGCCCAAGGCAAAACCCAAACCGAAGCCTAAGGCGAAGCCTGGAGCCCCAGCCATTGACGGTGAACTCTTCATGGACGAATCCGAAGATGAAGGGATTGCTGCATCCGCCAAGGCAAGAGAAGGAGGTGCAAAAGTATCCTTTGATGAAGAGACTTGTGAGATCATGTTGAACGAAGCGATCTACTCAGTCAGGGACAAATGGAAGGTAGTAGAAAAGAAACCTCTACGTCCGGACATCAAACGATACTATGAGAAAGAGCTCACCTGCTACACGAGGAAAGAACAAATCAGATTTGAAGAAAAGGTCGCAGAGGCGAGAGGCATACTGATGGTCCCCTACACTGAGATCAAGAGGGTCCGAATACCAGTTGGACCAAAGGGTGACCTATCGGTCACTATGTCTTTTGACGAAGATGACGGCCTAGTTTTCCATCATAAAGTCATTCCTCATGTATGTGAGGGAAAGAAAGATCATGCAGACACAAAGACATTGTCTATTCCAGCCAAAGGGTCAAGAACGAAGTTCATCATGGACACAGGATGTGGGTATGATTTGATATCGAAAGGCAGAGCCAAGAAATTAGGTCTGGAAGTGAGAGAAAGCGACCAATCAATGTCATTCTATACCGCAAATGGAGTGACATCCACAAAAGGAGTCGCTGACATTCATTTCGACGAATTTGACTCTACCTACTCCCCATTCGTCCTAGATGAGTCTCCTTCAGTACTGTCTGTTGGAAAGAAATGCATGGAGGAAGGATACACATTCATATGGCCAGCCTGCGGCAACCCGTACATGGTTTCCCCGAACTACAAGAAAATCATGTTAGAAGTAGAGGGAAACATCCCATATATTGTCAAGGGCAGTGACTTCTGTACTCCCACCGACGATACAAGGGCGGAGATGATCGCAAGGTTCACCCTAGGAGAAGATGAAGCTGATTACCAATCGACTTTCATCAACTGTGATGTGGATCCTCAAGGAATCATGTGTGATGATGACGACATTCCTGTGATTGAACCTCCAAAAGTCAAAAGGCGAAAGAGGAATAAGAAGTTCAAGGCATCTCCTGGAGAAGAAGATGAGGTAGGATCAGATGTCGCCGGAGACAGTGAACCAGAAGCTGACGATGATGATGCAGATGACATCGAGGTGGATGTTGTTGACGGTGCAAGTAGAATGGTGAGAAGAGGAACTCTGAAAGCAGATGCCAGGAAAATCGAGCATCTACTCACACATCGTTACAAGAATCCCTACTGTGAGTCATGCATCAGAGCAAAGATGAAACACTTCAAGACGCATCGAGGAGCGTTCAAGAGAAAGCTCAAAGCTTTTGGAGATCTGGTTACCTTTGATTTTGTCGATACGAGGAACATCCTTGATCAAGGGATCAGTACTGATCGAGAGATCTTCGTCATTCGTGACAGGTACACAGGCGTCATATGGGCCTATCCGTCGAAAGAGAGGTTTACCAAGGACGTGGTCAATGCTATAAACC